TAAAAACTATGTTGCTCCAAGTCAAACGTTTAAATCCTCCTGAAAATGTTATCTTTTTACACACTGCTCCACATATATATATATTTGACAAAACTGATAATGGGAGTTTCTTTACCAAATCTTATTCTTTTCTCCCAGGAAAGATTTCATCATTAAGGCAATAAAGTTACTGAGCATTTCACATGGCTGCCTGAAAAAATATCACCTAGATGATGCACAGTTAAAAAAATGACAAGTATCTGAGAAAATACACATCTGGAACATGATGTAAACTTTACCCTCAAAGCTATTGCCCTTTTGATTTAGGTGTATATAATTTTATAATTATGAAATCCTCTAATAATTATTGCATTCATCTACTGCTTTACAGTCCTTTTAAACCTAGGTGAGAATTTATTCAATAAATATTTATTCCTATAAATATATACTATATACTATATACTACTATATACTATATACCTACTATATACTAAGACTACACAAAGTTCTGGAATCTATTATTTTTATTTATCCAGCCAATCATATAAGAATGGAGATGACAGTCAGAACCCAAAATCAGATACTATAATTCTCAGTTTAGACCCATGCAATTCAAATTTTCTGAACTAGTAACCCTATTTGAAAGGAAAAGTACTAGGTGGGTATTAGTTTCCCAAGGCAAGCAAGTGTGAAGTAGCAAGCTATTATTGTTTTTGGCATGTGAGTAAGAGTAGAAACCAGGCTCCTTGAAAAGTCTACCCGGAAAGCAAAGTTTACCTTTAACATTCCCCATTTTCCTTTCTCTGTCCCGCTCGTACTTTTGGCAGTCCCTTGTCTCCATTATTTATTGCCTTCATTTATGCTTTCCGTTCACTCACCAACCAGTTATTTTTCAAACAAGACTAAGGCCAGTAGACAAATAAAGATATGAAAGGGAGAGACCCTGTATAAGGCAGCTACTGATTATGTTATAAAGTTAAGTCATGTCCAGGCATTACCACAGTACCAAGAAGAACATGACAACTGCTGTTTAGTTACATAATTGTGAGAATTCAGAGGTTGTAAAGAACCCAAGCTCTATATCAACTGAGACCTGCCCTCTCTTGAACTACCCTTCCTCTCAACCAGAGGCTTAAGACCCTTGATGCAAATGACTATCACCTGCTGAGTTTTAAAATTCCTGCTACCCAGGCCAAATCCAAGTCTTGTTTTTAACAAAAAAATCTCTGGAGATGGGACTCAGATTTTTTTTTTTAATTGGCTATTTCACTGTGCAGCCTAGGTTGAGAAACATTGTCCTAAATATCTCTCCTTTTTAAAAATCTCATGTTACCCTAACTTCAATATAGAAGAGGCAAAAAACTTTAGGGAAAACATTAAGTTTTCTCATTCTGTTGACAACCCCCTTCCCAAAGCAAATAGGCAAACAAAATCTAAGCTAAAACAACAATAGCAGCAACAGCAAAACTGTTTTCTGTAAGTTCTTCAAGTTGGGGATTAGAAATTATCAAAAATAAAAAACAAATAAAAGAGATTTTGGTTATCATTAGTGGAAGAAGAAGTAAATTAGAAAGAAAGTCATGTCCTGGAGTGTGGTATAGTTGGAGAGATATAGGGAAGAAAGCTGCTGAAGGGGAGATTTAGTAGGCAACCTATTTGGTCAGCAGCTTCCCAGGTGGCGCTAGTGGTAAAAAACCTGCCTGGCAATGCAGGGGATATAATAGATGCAGGTTCGATCCCTAGGTTGGGAATATCCCCTGGAGGAGGGCACAGTGACCCACTCCACTATTCTTGCCTGGAGAATTCCATGGACAGAGAAGCCTGGTGGGCTACAGTCCATAGGGGACTTGCATGGAGTCGGACACGACTTTGCACACACACAATTTGGTCAGATGCAACGATCTTGGACAAAGGAGGTAGAATAGTAGTAGGAAGTCTGATTTGTTGACAACAAACCTTTAGCATTTATTCCAGTAAATTGCTCAATATGAGATCAGTGGCTGAGTTATTAAGGCTTTGACAAACAAAACAAAACACAAGTCATAAATCAGGACTAAGAATCTGACCCTTAGTGTGATGGATGGGGGTGGAAGTTAGGCAAGCAAAACAGAGCCCCCAAATTTGGCCACTGTAATGAAATTATGCAATGTGTTGGCATCAATGCAAAAGTCTGGTGTCAGCAAGTAAAAATGAAGTAAAACAACATAGAAAAGATTGGTTTTGAAGTGGTCCATTTACCTCCAGTGCCTGAAAGCATCTTTTCCATGTTCTTCCTTCATATTTTATTGCTAGTCAGGTAGATTAGGAAGCCCAGGGCTTAAACAGACCCAGATTCTAGCTTTGGTTCCTTATTTACTATCTGTAGGACCTTGGGGGTATAGTTTAATTTTCTGGGCCCCAGCTTCCTCTTCAGTGAACTCAGAGATAACATCTATTTTAAAAAGCTGTGAAATATAAAGAACAAATAATACAGTCAAAGCTCTTAATAATTTCAAGACTCTTTCTCCTTTGTCTGTTTTAACTGCTGTTATCTCTAAAGTGAAGTCACTCTGTTGTGTCTGACTCTTTGCGACCCAATGGACTGTAGCCTGCCAGGCTCTGCCATCCACGGGATTTTCCAGGCAAGAATATTGGAGTGCAATTCCAGGAAAGAATATTTCCTTCTCTAGGGCATCTTCCCAACCCAGGGATAGAACCTGGGTCTTCCACACTGTAGGCAAACTCTTTATCATCTGAAGGCGCCCGATCTCATCTGATCTCGGAAGCAAAACAGGGTCAGGCCTGGTTAGTTATCTCTAAAGGCACCTTCAATTCTTGCAGATGTAGAGCAGATAAAAATTTTGTACAACAAACTTGCTGATAGTAAAAGTAACTTCCTGGGGTAGGAATGGAGACTAGGTAATTCAAGCTTAAACATGATAGTCTTCTGCCATGAATAAATTTGTTCAATCACTGGGAACTGAATATTTTAAAAACTTTTTAGTTTGTTTTATTTTTGGCTGCTCTGGGTTTTCATTGCTGTTCATGGGTTTTTCTGTAGTTACAGTGAGCGGGGGCCACTCTTTGTTGTGGTGCATGAGTTTCTCACAGCAGTGTCTTCTTTTGTTGTGGAGAACGGGCACTGGGGCACACAGGCTTCAGCAGATGAAGCACGTGGCTCCATGGTTTCAGTTCTAGAGAGCAGGCTCAGTAGCTGTGGCACATGGGCTTCGTTACTCCATGGCATGTGGGATCTTCCCAGGCCAGGGATCAAACCCGCATCCCCTGCATTGGCAGGCAAATTCTGATCCCCGTACCAGCAGAGAAGTCTGATTGGAGATTTTTGACCTTCCGATTACCTGCAGATGAGGTATTGCCCTCGATTAGCTGACCTAGGGGCAAAGTCAAAGACTGGCAGGGACTTGCAGGTCTGAGGCAGGAGTGGGGACAGAATGTGTGAAACTGGAGTGTGAGAATGTGTTCACTTCAGGATTCAGCCTTTTTTTTTTTTTTAATATCCTGCAGGTTATTGGCAAGCAGGGGGTTAAGCTCAGTTGTTGCTATATTTGATTTTTCAAGAAAAGTCAGACCCATATTTAATGTAAACTCTCCCAGTTTTTGATTGGGAGATGACTAATTTCATTTTCTTTCAACATTATGTGGGCCAAACAAAACACATCTGAATACTGCCTGTGTGCTACCAGCCTGCGACCTTTGCCTTTTGGAGGTCCTTTTTGCTTTTAGTGCCCTCTACTCTGAGCCCAGGAATAAGTGTATTCATCTCAAATGACAGGCTTACCCTAATGAATACACCCACTTCCAGATAAGTGTTTCCCGTTGTTAGTGTTTTATTATCCATAATTAATGTTACCTTCCAGGCAATTCTTTTGCAAATGGCCTCTTGTTCCAAAGTTAAAATCTATTATAATATTTCCTGTTACTTGCTAAAGTGTGTAGACTTAATTTTCTGCTCGTTAGTTTTATCTAACACATCTGCTGGCTGGTTTCACTTCCTCAGGGCCCAACTTAATTTTGCACCAACTCTTGGGAGGTAAAACTTAATAAACTTTAACTTTTGTAAAGCTGAATATTTTTAAAACATGTTGCAGAAATAGTCTTCTATTTAACCTGTTATGGACTGAAAAGTGTCCTCCCCAAATTCATATGATGAAGTGTTGACCTTCAATGTGACTATATTTGGAGTAAGAGCCTTTAAGGACGGATTAAGGTTAAATGAAATATTATTTTTTTGGACCAGGGATTGAATCCAGGCCCTCTAAAATAAGAGTGTGGAGTCCTAATCACTGGACTGACAGGGAACTCCAGGTTAAATGAAATCTCAAGGATGGAGCCCTAGTCCAATAGGACTGATGTCTTTATAAAAGGAAGAGATACCAAGAGTGCAGATACCCAAAGGAAAGGCCATATGAAGATACAGTGAGAAAGTGGCCAACTGCAAGTCAGGAGGAGAGCGTTCACCAAGAGCCACACCTGCCAGTGTACATGTGTGCTCAGTCACTCAGTTGTGTCTGACTCTTTGTGACCCTGTGGAGTGTTAGCCCACCAGGCTCCTCTGTCCATGGGATTTCCCAGGCAAGAATACTAGAGTAGGTTGCCATTTCCTCCTCCAGGGGATCTTCCCAACCCAGAAATCAAACCCAAATCTGCTGCATCTCCTACACTGGAGGTAGATTTTTTTACCATTGCATCACCTGGGAAGCCCATAGCTGCCAAGACCTTGATCTTGGACTTCGGCCTTCAGAACTGGGAGGAAATAAACTTCAGCTGTTTAAGCCACCCAGTCTGTGATATTCTGTTTTGGTAGCCTTAGCAAACGAATCTTCCACCTTTAACTACTGTATCTTTGGTGTCTGATGTCATTCCAGTCATGCTGAGAGAAATCCCACTTTTTAGACTCTCATCTTGCTTCCTGTTCAAAACAGTGTAGATATTTTTGTATCATCAATCAAAAGAGTCCCCTGCCTGAAAAATATATCCAACTCTCTCTGTCATGGCAGAATACCAACTATTTGGTGACTCACCCATAAAATGTGAGATAAAGGAAACCAATCCTTTTCCCGAGTTTTAAAACTTCTCCTCGTTTGTCAGCTGCTCCTGTGAGTCGCACGATGCCAACCTTCTTTAGGCTGGAGAGCCACCTGTATGCGTGCTCATCGTCTTTTAAAACATCTTCGAAATCCAGAGTAGGCAGCTGGAACTCTGAGCCCCAGTACTGACACTCTGTGAGTTATGAAAAAGGAGAAACCAGTGTTAAAAACACTGTTTTAACATACAATGAAAACTTCAGAGAAGGAACTAGTTCATTGAAGCTGACCTTTGATCTATCACAGAACAGACTAAAGTTTAATCATATTAGAAATGCCCAAATTACCAGCTCTTCTTCCCTGGAGCCAGGCCAGTGTACTCAGGCTTTCTGCCTGCCACTGTGCAAAACCCATGACTGGTGTTCACTATAGCACTTTGTCAAGAGAATGTTTATCTTGTGGATGGTTCTTGATACTTATGTCCTTAGGGCTTCTCTGTCTGGACATTGCTTAGAAATAGCCTTGAAATACTGTGCATTTTTAACAGGCAAGTTAAATTACTCAATTCCAAATAGAGAGAAAATGAGAATGATGTGTTAGAACAGCTTATGCCTATCCCTGGGGGTTGGGGGGGTGGGCGGTGTTTGTCATGGTAGGAACCGCCCCTCCTTTCTCTTATTTCAACTGATAAGAAGCTTTCTCTGGGGTCAACTTGTTCATGGGAGTCAGCAAAAGCTGACTGGAGAGGAAAAGATGGACCATGTTGTTTTGCCAGAGAGGCTGATTAAAGTGGTAACAATGAGATTAGAACAATTTGGAATATACTCATAATTTTTTTGGGGGGGTGGAGGGTGTAAAACACGTTGTTGGTCTTTCTTGATTCTATTAGCTACCCAATAATTTTTTGTTGGTTTATTTTTTCAATAAGCCTGATGGTGGTGTTTGGTGGTAGTGGTTTAGTTGCTAAGTTGTATCTGACTCTGCGACCCCAAGGACTGTAGCCCACCAAGCTCTTCTGTCCATGGGATTTTTCAGGCAAGAATACTAGAGTAGGTTGCCATTTCCTTCTCAAAGGAATCTTCCCGACCTAGGGATTGAACCTGGGTCTCCTGCATTGTGGGCAGATTCTTTACTGACTTAGCCACCAGGCAGTAAGTCTTCAGGAACTCGTTGTCTATGGAAGATTTGGACATGGAAGGTAACCATTAAAACACAATATGTTGTAAAGTAACTATAACAAAAATTGATAAAAATAAATAAATAAAAGCAGTAAGATAGTGAAGATAAGCCACCTACAACAGTATGGATTAGACAGACTCACAGGTGACAAACCAAACAAAAGCACACAATTTGTTGGATGCTATAATTGAAGTACATTCAAGATACTGTGGAGATATCAGATCTTCTGATCCCTTATTAATGCTCCTTCTATGATGCCAGTTATTCTTTTAAACACATGAAGTTCCCCATGTCTGTCCCTCATGCCCCAGCTATTTCTTCTAAAATCAAACAGAGCTGGTCTTTATGGGCCCAGCATGCTTGCGCTGTACCACTGATTTATATGAAAGAACTTCTATTCAAGAGCAGATCTGCTTGACTTTTGAATATTGGATTTTATGGTTTTTGCTTTGCCACTCCTATTTGCCCTTCGCATTTACAGTCTCCAGATTGTAATATTTGATACCCATCATAAAGGCCTGTGAAAAGAAGGTGAAAAATGTCATAAATAACTGCTTATTGGCTACCTGGATAGAAAAGTCATTTGGCTTCCCATAAAGAGAAAAGTTTCCTGGGCAACGTATCAGTGTTAAAGACAAAAATGATAAATCACTACCTCCTCTTTCCAAACCTTACACCTAAGTGGACTATACCTAGAATCTTAAAAAATGTTGAAAACAACTTTAAGCTTATTGAGCCCCAGATGAAAACTGTAAGTCCATAGAACATTAGAGGTAGATGAGATTTTCACATTGACTTTAGGATATCCCATCACTATGGGTTCTTATTATTGGATAGAAAGATCAACTAAACTATGGCTGAGGAGTTCTCAGATCTTGGGCACTGTAATAATCTGGCTAAGGGCAAATTTTTCATTCCTGTATAGACTGCTAGATGGATTAGCTGTGGTCTACATGGTCATGTACTGCAATGTGCGATGTCTTTATTAAAAAGGGTTAAGTAACTTATTGATGAGCCTTGTTATAATACTTAAAAGAAAAATTTCACATCTTATTGAGAGAAAACCAGCCCGGAGAGATAGTATGGTCCAGACTGCAGTGTTGTCAAGTAGAACTTTCTGAGATGCTGGAACTATTTTCTTTCTGTACCATCCAGTACTGTAGCTGCTAACAATATGTGGGTATTGAGACCTGGCATATGGATAGTGGAGCTGAGGGACTGAGTTTTTTCCTTCATTTAATTTAAACTGACTTAAACTTTGATTTGGGCTTCCTAGGTGGCACAGTGGTAAAGTATCCACCTGCCAATGCAGGAGACACAAGAGACACAGGTTTGACGCCTGGGTTGGGAAGATCTCCTAGAGTAGGAAATCTCAACCCACTCCAGTATTCTTGCCTGGAAAATTCTATGGACAGAGGATAGTGGTGGGCTACAGTCCACGGACTAGCAAAGAGATGCAACTGAGCAAACACACACAAATTTTAATTTAAATAGCCACATGCAATTGATACTATATGAAATAGGACATGAATAGAATAAAGGACTTGGAGCTAAAGAGACTTGGACTTGAGTCATCATAATGCCCCTTACCAGCTTGTTTCTTTGTCTTTTATCTGATCTTCCATCCCTAATAAAATAACCATACTAATATTTGCCTTGAAGGTCATATGTTAACCATGCAATGAGTTTATGCAAGGAGTCTGGTATAGTGCATAGCACATAGTAGACTAAGAAAATACATAATATAACAATTGATATTTGCTGAATACTTTCTAGAGTCAGCTGCAATCCAAGGTGCTCTCCATACATTATTTTTTGAAAATCCACAATAAATATACATAGGAATACTGTTTATAGGAATACTGTGATTGTTTCATATTCCCATGCTACAGAGAAGGGAACAGAGAGCTGAGTGTAGCAGCTAATGATTTGCAGAGCTAGTTAAGCAATTTCAGGTGACTAATTCCAAAGTCTGTAATTTTAGCAACTACACAGAAAATAAGCATTTGATGCCTTGAAATACTGTTGTCACCTGTATTTTTAAGTCCTATGTCTGAATGTTCACAGCTTACTCTATCCCTTACACGGAAAATCTACTTTCTGGATGAAAAGTAAAGCAGGGCAAGTTACAATTAGGAACACTTCGTCTGGACATGTTCAAGCATGAGTGTTTAAAGATAAACCTTGGCTCCCAGTCAGGACTTTCAATGCAGAAAAAACTTTACAGCTAGGTTTCATGGCACAACTCTACAACAACATTGCTATTCACTGCTTTTGTGAAATGAACCAAGGCTTAAAAATCAGCTAGCTTCTTTTCAAAAAATTTATGCCAATACAAGTCAGTGATCCATGCCAGTAGTTTTACTTAAGGCCATTATCATTTTCCAGAGAGTTTTGGTGACTGTGTAGCAGGGAAATGTAATAAACAGAGATGGAAAAAACACTTTCACAAGATATAAATGTTTTAAAAACTTTTGTATTTTGAACACTTTGTGGATTCAAGAAGAACTGCTTAGGCTACACACTATATACATCGAAATATATTTATAGCATATTTTAATGAATTTTTGTTTCTACATGAGTCATTTTTCTGTTATAGAGTAACACACACATGCTCTCAAACACACATGGACAAACAAACACAATATCCAATATTCTCATCTAACTCATAGAGAATGAATTATATTCTTTCAATAAATGTTACTCTTTACATGTGGAAAGTTAACCATATTCACATAAAGACTAAAGATAAAGCAAGGCTGTTAATATAAACATCAATCTGTACTATAAATAATTTCACATTCATAGGATTTTACTATCAGGGGTTGGTCACAGTACCTTTCAAGTTCTACAAAGTTTATAGTGTTCCAACTATAGCTCATATTTTGGTGGGCCTAGACAGCTGCTTTGCAAAAATCAGTGACCAAGGGCCACAGTCCATCATAGAATCTGTGTCCTAATATGAGCCACTGATAGACTCGGTAATGCCAAGTATAATTTTCAAGGATAGCATTGTGACTAACCAGTTTCCAAATTCATCATAACATCCTCAATATAAAATACTCTAGTTTTCCAGGATAAATAAACTTCATCTTAATAAATCCAACCAATAGGATCATTCTATGATCTATGTGTAGATCCTATGATATCTGAACAGAAACTCTGATGTTGAAAAGGTAATTTGGAAGCATTTTCCCAATGTCCCCAACCACAAAACCTCACCACCAGGGACCATATGAAAACACACTGGCCTAGAAGAAATCATTTGTCAGGTGAATAGATTGAAAGTAAACTTAAATTTCACAGTTGGGTCTGGATACATAAACAGTATGGAAAATGACGGAATATTTAAGGCATGAACCACCCTTTCTAATTTAACTTATGGCCTTACTAATAAATACTTCCTTGAACATGTGCTTCACACATCATAAAATTTATGTACAGGCTACATGCTGGCTTTCAAGGAACCATTTGTACAAGGCTTGCTTTTCAGGGTTAAACCTCACATTCCTGAATCCTGATGTGTATTTTAAAAAAGGAAAAGACACAAAGAAGCTCTTCAGTTGAAGATTCATGAAGGCAGTGTGCAGGGTTGCAGTGTGTTATTTCATGAATCTAGGACCTTCTGTTCACCTGTACAGAACTGTGCCTGAAACAACTGTCTGAAACAGCTCATCTCATGTGCTGAGGATCAACTGATGGCTTACTATCTTTTCATGTAGATATCTTGCAGGGGCCCAGCCATAAACCAAATCTGACCCCCAGGAGAGGAAAGACACCTGAATGGAAATAGGGCTTTGATTCTCTTTTCTGTACTAAGGACTTGCTGCCCTCTTTGGAAAGGACATCCTTGTCTCTTGTCTAGTGAACTCAACCTGCCTTTCAAGATCTTGGTCATTTGTCCTCTTTTAGATCGAAATCTTCCTGAAGCTGACCCTAAGATGAGGATTTGAATGCAAGCAACTTACTAAGGTGAGAGTTGGACCATGAAGTGCCAAAGAACTGATGCTTTTGAAC